GGCGACAGTGAGAGTACAGTTCAAATGTCATTCTGGTTTATTTTCGTTTATATATAGACGCGGGAGAGTTCACCCGGTGTCACTTACCCCTGAATACCGGCGACGCTCGTCCGATGATTTTCAGAAAGCGAGGAGGAATTCCTCTTCCGTTGGGTGGCGAAGCCACAAAGATCTCGCCGAGGAGTACGCAGAAGCTTGTGTGATAAAATAGAAACGCGGCTTCTAATAATAAAATCAACATGTATAGTCGATTATCAATTCCGAACTTTTACTGTCTCTCACTTCGGCGAATCTTGCGCACAAGCCGCAACCCGTTCGTGCGCACCTTTATTTTCTGTGTTGCATGTCGGATGGACAAACCGGGAAAACAGTTCTAATACCGGTATTTGAACCGTCTAGCCGCGACAGTGGCTCTCTATTTTAGGTCGGTCTTCCTGCAATTTATTTATTTTATTTTGTAACTTAATATTCCTCGCGAGCCTTCCTCGCTCTCAACCACGACATGCAGATAAAATTTTTATAAATATATTTGATCTGAGTGATTATCAAAGTGATGACATATGACGTAATAAATTGCCTGTGCATGCTATGTATGCCGAGAGAGAGAGAGAGAGAGAGAGAGAGAGAGAGAGAGAGAGAGAGAATATTTTCGATTTAATCGTAAAACATGAAAAATTACACATGTCAGCGGCAAATTAATATTTTAATAAGTCGTAATTTTTTTCAGATATTTTAATTTAACGATTACCGTGAATCGAGACGAGCAATGTGCAATCTTAATTTTTATTTCATTCCATTTTTCTCACGAAGCAAGCCGAGCCTAAAAGGCAAACGTTTTCCTCGTCTCGAGCATGGGAAATCTCGTGTCAATGCACTTTGCGGCGAGACGAGAAATCATAAGAACAAATGGCATTTTGCATTTAGGTCACGCATGATAGACGCAACAGAGCCTCCCGTTGCATGTTTGCCACTATTCGCGTATAGAAATCGATTAATTAGCGTTGTCTGATTACGGATGACGTTTACTTAGCTCGCCGACGCAATGCATCGATCTGCTGACGATCTAATCGTCCCCTGACTTCTGTGTATGCGATCGTTCGCGTCGATGGCAGACACATGGATAGTGGAACGAAAGGAGTATAAATATGCGAAACGAGCAGATTTGAGCCCTCGGGCGCAAAGACAGATGCAGTCGAAAGAAATGGATGTATCGGCATACGAAGTATTTTAAAATCTCTTTCGCAGAAGAACGCATAAGATAAGAATGTTGTACGTGCACGCGTCTCTTTGTACGATTGTGGAAGAGAAACGAGTGTGCTTCATCCTCTCGCGATTACGCGTCATTTGCATAACAGCACCGTCGTATTTCCCACAGCTGCACAGGTCTCATTGACCCTCGAATCGCAGGTAGCTTATCGAACTTGGTGCACGAGCTATCGACTCGCCGTTCCGAGATAAGGCCAGGTGCATGATCATGATACTTTTATTCTCGTTCTTCGCGCAATTTCCTCGATACGCATTTTCGGACTGGATATCGCGTTCTATCTTCAGCGATACAGGATTTATCCAAAATAATATTTTTTCTCTCGAGAAAGTTCTCCTTCATAAAATATTTGTTCTCATAAACTTTATATTTAATTGCGTTATATAAATTATTAGAATATTATTAATATAATAGGAGGTGTAATTTGGACATACTTTTTTAAATATCACCTCGAGCGTGAAATTCCTCATTAGATTCGTCCAGGTCGAGTCTCCGCGTCGCGGTACGACCACTATATCGCACTTGAATTCATAGCTGCGCTCTCGGCATTCCCAGACGGCAGTTCTCGTTTCATGCCCTGGTCATGCTTTCAACCTTTAGATCTTATTTATGTCCTCGGTGTACTTTTTCGTGAATTTTAATACCGCGCCAACGATACCTTATATCAGTGACTTATAAAGCATTATAACTCACTATTACCATTTGTAATATGTAGTTTCCCGACATTGCTGAAGATTGACCGATCGGGAACTTTCATGAATCTTAATACGCGAATGAATCTTAATCTCAACCGTAAATCATCGATCGCGAAGTTTTTCGTTTCCCATCGATGGCTCGCTCTCTTCGTGACCGAGGGTCGTTTGGCCAGCGTCGTGACGAGCATCGTCGTATAACGAAAAGGAAAAGGGACCGGCTGGAGGAGGCACAGGTCGAGGAACTCTCTCGTTTGATAGCGTGAACTTTGGGTTTGGCCGAAACCAGCATTTCGGGCTCATGTTTTACGTGGAATAAATCCTCAGCGGGAGAAAAGAATGACCCCCGACACGCGCTCTCTCTCCTTCTCTCCACTCGACGTGATCTTCGTGATCAGACGTCGTTTGTTCGCGATGACCCGGGGTCCACGGAAATTATGGTGGTCCTCCGTGAACGGGGGAGTCTCTCGGGGGGGTTCGGCCAGGTCGTTAGCGCATAAGAAGTCGCTGACATCCCGAGACATCTCGATGCCGGTGTAAATGAAATCCGAGAATCCATTGTGGCGAGAACGGATCGCCGATCCTTTCGACGACATGCCGGATCTTGTCGATTTCAATTGTCGAGCCCATATATCTCATCGGGTGCGCGCCTGCACCGAAATAGAAACGGTGATAGAGAAAAACCCTTGCGCGGATTATCCGGAAGATGGGAGATTTCCGTCTCGCGGACGTTCGTTGCTCTCCGTAACGATGATATTTCAGGACGGTGTAAAGAGAGGAGGGACAGAATCTTCCGCCTCGCTTCCGTCTTATCTCGAATTTATTTAACTCTTTCGTCACTATGTAAATTAAATACACGAGAGAGTGATTTTTATTACGGTGAATATATTTTCGAGGAGGATTGATCATAAATTTTAATTTTTCCACACACGTCTCGAAGTCGAACTTGTTGAACTAGTTGAACTAGCTCGTTGGTAAACGAAGAATCCTTGTTGAAATTTCAAAGTTTGGCATCTGCCATAAATTTCAATTTTTATTAGACATTAAGCTCGCGTCTCTTGAAAATTGTTCGCAGAAAAGCGTTCTCATTTCTCTTCCGAGACTCTCGTTTGAAAAGTAAAGTTGCGTCAAATTATTAAAAATACAAACAAAGGATAATAGTCGTTCGCATATGCGGTGATGCACGTTTTGTTACGACCGGGTCGAGTTCGGAAACAGATGTCCGGCAACCTCGCGAAGAAGGAACTATTACGCAAGCCGTAAAAGTGCTTACGGATTAACGATCCGTAAAAGACCACGATGACAGAGACCAAAAGGAGTTATTAGCGCTCTCCAACGACTTACATGGCACTTATCCGCTCGCCCGCATGTAAAATCGAAGCTGCTCGAGCTTGCTTATAATGACGGAGGCGCGTCATTATTTCGATCATTGAGAGTCTACTTGCGTCGTTTAACGGACATTCCATCAAAGTTTTTAAACATTTCATCGCGCGTGTGACACAAATAGTTTCAGCAAGAAGAAAAAATAATTTTCTTTTATCCCTTTCTCACATTGAATAACTTAAGAAATCTGCGGGGTAATTTGATTTTCGAACTTTTTTTTATAAGCAAACGCCTAAATAAATCGTCTTGATGTTTCAACAATTTGACAAATTTCATGAAAGAGAGAATAAAAACGAGAGAAGACTCCTCGCGAGCGGCATTTGAGGCGTGCGCGCGTGCGCGCGTGCCGGGCACGTGTACACGCACTCGCGATCCCCTTTAAATTCGTGTGCCCTTCCACATTTGTTCACGCGTTAATGCCCGAGCGCAAAGAGAGAAAGAGAGGAAGAGTGAAAGCCGGGAGGGACAGACGCGGGGAAAGACGCGGCACCGTGTGCCATCGTGGTTTTTTGAGTGTTCCAAAAATACCCTCGACTCGGGGAAAGATAAAGAGACCGGCTGTGACCGGAATGGCGGGAGAAATCGGAGGGATCGGGCGAGAAAGTGCGAGAGAGAAGGAAAAGGAGGATGCGTCGAGAGAGAAAGCGAAAGAGTCCCAGCAGCAGAGACGAGATTGGGAATGCCAGTCCGCGGCAACTAGTCATCCTAGAAACGTGCTCGCGAGCGTGCGTCACAAAGGGTTGCGTGAAAAAGAGAAAAATCGCAAGCACATCTGGTGTAATCTGGCTCCTCTCGATCCTCCCGTTTCCTATTTCGCAATCGGAATAAATAAATAATTCGGCGCCGATTGGTGAAACTGCTCCGCGAATAAAATCCTCTCCGCTCGCGAAATTTCATCCGCCGAGATGAATCGAGATGACGTGCCTATGAGCGCATATTAATAAGTACTAAAAAATACTGGTAATAATTTTTTTAATTACGAAGGAGACTTCAATTTCTCTATTTGTTTAGCTGACACCAACGGGATTAGAAAGGGGAGATTGTATATAAGTAGTAATACGCGCAGGACAAAATAATAACGCTCGGAGTCGCATTTTAACGACGCTTATCGCCGCTCGGACTACAAGCCAGAGTGATGCGCGTGTAATATCATTCCCTTTGACATTCGCAGATCATCTTGCGATCGATATATCGGCTCGCGGCGACCGCACGTCGTCGACGACGCGCGTCGGGCGCAATCCGCAGTGACGCGTTCGCGGCTAAGGATGCCCCTAAAAATCGAGAGCGGCACCTACACGGTGAACCCAGTCGCGAAAAAAAATGTCTCCAAGTTCCTCCTCTGGAAACATTGGCGGCGAAGGTAGGCAGTGAGCGACGTTTGAAGTGAAAGATTGCAAAATCTCTCTGGGAATTTTAACAGAAGAGTTCTCCTCGAGACCTTTTAACAACAGATCCCCATTGTTCTGACATTAATATTGCGTGCGTTACACTTTTTTTGGATTGCATGTCTTTCTTCTTTTCTCATGGAAGATAACACGTTGCTATTGTTTTGGTGTACGACAGTTTTATTCGGAGCGGATAATTACATGTATATTAATGTAATTGACATTTAATGTGTGTTTCGTTAATATGTAATTAACGATAGGTTTATATTCCATTAGCATAACGTACAAACATCCATTGGGACCATTATACGTTCCACGGTGAGCAATTAGAACGTGAATAAGTCCCACCGAGATTCATTAGCGGCGCGATGCAACGATGCGATTTCGAGCTTCTGCGATGCACGGAGATGAATCCAGGACTCGCGAAACAGGATTCGAGATTCACAAGGGTAGGGTTGGAATATCTGCGCGGTAAACGTCGCATTATTAGGAGAACGTCGAAGTTCCTCCTGTCTCTCTCTCTCTGTCTCTCTCCGGGAGACTCAGCTACGGGGGAAATTGTTACGTGTCCATGTGTATAATAACACTTTGACATTTTCCAACAACAATCAACAATCGTCGATTTTATTCCCCGTCGGTCCACGTGCGCGAACACACATCAGCATCATCATTATCATCGTCATCAGGCGATCGAGCATGATTCGTTCACCTTGCACACCTTAGTCTTGCTTGGCCGCACGCCTGTACCCCGCCGATGCACTTTAAACCGTTAAACTCAGCAATTATGTCAGCGCCGATTTCCGCATCGTAAACAACATTGTACAATCACCGGGCAACCTTACCTACACGCGCGACTCGTTTCTCCAATCCGTTACGGCCGCCGTGTTATGCATTACACGCACGAGTGCAATCTGGAGCCCGATGCCCACTTTTTCGATCGGGGAACTGCATCGGTGGCAGCGAAAGCACTAGAAAGTACATTATACGGCATATAAAAAAAAAAAAGATGTAACATTTGAAAAACGCAGAAATTAACGGGGGGAGTCCGTTTTTTAATTAAGCGGAAAAAGAAATTCCGATTGAAAATAGGCGAGTCAAAAGTTCCGATTGAAATCACTAAATTTCTGTATAAATCAATCAGAGGTTTATTGTTGGATTAACGAGATGTCTTGTTAAACTCAATTTTGAATAACTTCAACCGGAATTTCCGACTTGTTCATTTTAAAACAAAATTTTGGTGCAGCTACAAACCAAATTGTAATTAAAATATGCAATTCTAAACGTTTGTAAGTAACTTCGGCGTGAGAAACGGTTTGAGAAACGAGACGCTGCCTCTCATATTGTGTCACCTCGACGAAGCTTCCCCTGTTTCTATGTACATTACACTTTCGCAATTACATGAGCGAGTAAACGTTGCGTGCGTTTCGACGGACGTTTCGTTTTTTTTTTTGCGCAAGACGTCACGGGGCTGTCGCGCAAAAAGTTTAATCGCTGATGTGAGAACGATTTTATTGCATGCAGTTTGATCGCATCCGGTATGCACCCGCTTGATCTGATCCGCGATGCGGTGCATTCGTTTCAGTCGCACCTTCTGCTAATCTCTCGTCATTCGCCTCTCTTCAAAATGGGATTAAGTACGCTTGTCTTTTAAGCAAAAAAAGTGAAGCGGCTGAAGCGAACGGACCGATAACTCCCATTGGGATTCGCGGCGAATGACCGATACTCCTCGCGCAATTAGCGCGTGCAATTAACACCGGCGCCAATTTGTCGACGATTTAATTCGCGCGCCAGAGCTACTTGCACGAGTCTCTCATCCATGATGTAATGAATCAATTGTCGGAAGCTGATGGCCGCTCCGCAATAGTCCTCGAAATTTTAGGGACACGCCGTTTTCTGAAATGTCCCTTAACCAACCCGGATAGTGCTCGTTCAATTCATAATCGCGTAATGTTTCCGGTGTCAATTTTTACCATTAATAATTTCTTATCGACCTAAAAAAATATTTTTTTTTACGATTTACGAAATGCGGAGGTTTCGTGCGCGTAATGTAACGTCGGGAAAAATATGGCATTGCCGCGTGTTTCGTGACTCGCGGCAATAAAAACCGGCGCTTTATTCATTGTCCCGATATTATTATGCAGCGAAATACACGAAAGTCACGGTGAAATTAATGAGACTGCCTACGCGTAACGTATGATGTTTGTCTTCGTTAAGTTATGAATCTGACCATTATTGCGTCGCGAAAAAAAAAAAAACTCTCCACTCGGAGAGTTTTCTCCGCGTATGGATATTAAAGCGCCGTGAGCACCTATCGGGCGGTCATGCGCTACGCGAATTCGATATCGCTAATTATTCTCGTTACATCGGTAATGAAGAGAATATCCAGCCAGTTGATATGCAGCGCGCTGCGGTGAAAGAATTCCAAGGGGATTCTCGCGAACAAAACCGAAAGCTCTCGCCCGTGAGGAACGCCGTTGTAAAATCTATTTTTGCCCGTGTCTCCGAGATTCCCAACATCAACGTTACGTTGTCGAGTCTCATGAGACAGGACTCCCCCCCCCCCCCCCCCGCCCTCCCCCTCCCTCCTCCCTCCGCTCCTCTCGACTGTAATATTATACATGCAGAATACTCCGATCCGCTGAGAAACCGGCGATCCCTACGTTCACCGTTCAGGACTCATTGCGGTGCCGCCAGTTTCCGTCCAAGCTGTTCTCGAGCTCCCTCGGTGATACACGAAACTAAAAGAGGCGATTGGAGCGACCGTAACTTATCGGTTGTCATTACGCGAGTGTCACGCGCAAAAAAGCAGTCGCGGTGATCGCGGTGATGCGAATGCTAATTCGTGCCGCTTTCACGCTTGCTTCGAGGCGAGACGTGACATTCACAAAAGAAACGGAGAAATGCAACTCGTTTCGGTTTGGACCCGGTAAGAGCCACACGGAAGACGGGCCTTTTAACGAGAACACTTGCCTTGTTATCAATCGAGGTCACTCTCCTGAACTTGTCCGTTCTCTGGATGTTTTCAAACTCGAGTCGATCTATGTCAAAGTCTCGCGCTTGGAACTTGATATTCTCCGGAGAATTACGAACTGGTTCTCTTAGTATCGCTATACAGAGTGCATCGATAACAGGCATACTTAGCGTACTCAATGTACCTCTTGTTGAGAACAAACTAAAATTCTTTCTTAAATTGAATTTAGATAAAAGATTGATTTTTAACATCGGGCCAATGTGACAAATGTTAAAATTTTTATCTTATATATATATTCAATATTCAATATTAAAAGAGATAACTTTATCCGTATCTTATTCCCTTTGGATTTCCATTTTTAAATCTTCGTAGTTGTTGGATTTCCATTTCAAATCTTTCAGCTATGGCGGATTGAAAATCGCGAAAAATCCCGCGAAAAGAATGATCAGAGAAATCGTCATTTCTAAAATAATTGGAAGTGTCACCGATGCGCCAATGAGATCGCGCACTGTGTATCAAAAAGTAAAAAACCGCAACCGAGCTACGAGAACGCTTGGGACACG